TATAACATGCACAACACACCACATACATAACATACACAACACACCACATACATAACATACACAACACACCACACACGTAACATACACAACACACCACATATATAACATACACAACACACCACATACATAACGTACACAACACACCACATACATAACGTACACAACACACCACATACATAACCCCATATAGTGATACTTCTTTACAGCAGATTTATTTTCAGTCTCCTTCCTCTCTTTACTTCCAACATTCTGTGACTAGTTCATCCACACCTGTACACGACACTGGACTAACTCAACAGTTCAACCACACCTGTACACGACACTGGACTAACTCAACAGTTCAACCACACCTGTACACGACGCTGGACTAACTCAACAGTTCAACCACACCTGTACATGACACTGGACTAACTCAACAGTTCAACCACACCTGTGCATGACCGGTACATGACACTGAGCTCACAAGGTGAGTCCTGTAATGTGCTGAGTCAGCTCATCCTCCTCCGTTACTCACCCGGATGATTTCGGACGCAAAGTGCTCCTGGTTGATCATCTCGGTGCCCATCTCGTCCAGGACCTGGATGGCATTGGCGTGCGCCGCTACCTCCGCTTCAAACGCTTGGTGCTTCTGGATCTTGGCCTGAAAACACCCATAGATTAGCACGGAAAGTTCGACTATTCTCTTCTTTTCTTTCAACTTGTAGTAAGCTGCAACCCAACTTTACAACACAGACTTCCCCCACCATCCAAGTATGGAACTTATGACCCATAATAAATCAGCTAGACAAGATTTTAAAATCAAACAAAAGCATCGATTTGATATGGAATTCATAAGCCACAATGAACCACCTGCTCGACAAGATTTTTTAAAATAAACTTTAAACATAACTATCAATATTTCAAGAAAATAAATTGCTTTCATACTCCATTCCAAAAGAAATGTACAACACTTATTAACATGACTATACAAAATAAAATCATTTATTCTTTCATAAGTTAATTAAAAACTGTACTCATCAAGTCTACAGTTCTCCAGTCCCT